CTTATATTCTAGGGTTTTCTGAGCTGAACCAATACTCAATGTACAAAATGTTTGTCTGTGATATAACTTTGGTCACAATGACATCAAAATTCATAATGAGCAGTTGCAAGCTCTAATAGATTGGTCATCCCATAAAGTGGATTTCTGCCCTTTGTTCATAGACAACAAAAAAACAGCTGAAATGTTTAAATAACAAATATTTAGCATCTAAATAATGTAATGAAAAATATGCTATAAAAAAGATGGCCCCAGTTATAAAAAATGAAGAATAGCTAAATGTTGGTCTTACCCAAAGCAACCATAAAACATATTTCTTTTTTAAATAGCTGCAACCTGATTGGCTGAATGGAGAGAACCTCCATTTTTCTCTTCTTTAGCATCCTTCTTATAACCATGTACAACTCTCCAAGATGAATAATGCTACTTAGTTATTTTTAAAAGGCAACACTGTTTTGCATGTGATGTTGGCATGCCCTTAGAGATATTACATTGTCAGATCTTTAGAGACCGATTTACTAAAGTACTTGAGAATAAATTGTGTAGAGTCACTTCAATTATCCAATTGTGTAAAAAGCAGATAGCTGTATATTTATTAAATTTGCACGAAATTCGGTATTCAAAATGAACACAGAATATTATTGAGTGAAGATGATCAATTCCTTAAGTAAATCGGTCTCATGGTCTTAATACAGTTGGGCAGCTTTTTCATCTCTTATGTCCTCACAAAACATTTTTTTTTTTTTAAATGAACAGACTAATGGGACTGTTTATAATGTTTTCACACAAGAGTCATACACCTGTCACCCAGGATTCACACATTTTCCCAAATAAATTACAAAAACTGAATAAATCTTGTGTGAACGTTGTGTGAATATCGGGTAGAAATATTTAAAAATGAACCTTAAGACTTATTTAGTAAACTTTTGTAACCTGTAGCAACCTACAAGACATTTGTATTTAAAATATATTTGTTTAGTAAAATCATATTAATTGTTACATCATTATTGAATATGATACCATGAAGACTTCATCAGTGAGATTTACTATTGGGCAGTGGCTAAAAAGCAAACGCCCATGGCAGACACCTAAAATGTGTTCTGCACATATTTATATCGGCCAAAGACACTGCATAGATTTTTACTGTGTCAATTTCCTTGAAAAAAACGATTTTTAACACATTCTTATTTTTTTTGGAAATAGCAGATATTGTTTAAAGTGAAAGTCCTGATATTTGGCAAAGCAAATTTCTAAGTGTGAAGAACATGTCTCTGCAGTGATTTTTCATGGTGTTAGACATGCTTCTTAGCAAGTCTGCTTTGTGGGTCTGATTCCGGGCGTGTGTCTTTTTGTAAATTCGATTGGGCATCTGCTTAGGGGCGCTGCTCAATAGTAAAATCTCGTTGCGGGGTAAAAATAGACAGTTAAAAATTGGGCGTTCGCCCACGAATATGCACACCTATGCAGACCCTAAAGTTCTGGGCATATGTCTAGGCCACAGTGGTCGGCAAGCCGCGGCTCGCGAGCACATTATATCGGCCGCTCCCCTGCCTCCTCTCGGTTGGCAGCCCCAAAAGTCCGTGCGGACCTTTTAATCCGGCCCGCGGATGTGGCTGTCAGGATGTGTTTAGGCGGGGCAGCGTGCCGAACGTGAGGGGAGGGGAGCTAGGCTCCTCTCACAGTCCGCCCTTGAAGACCGAACGGCGCGGGAAGACAGCGAGAGGAACGCAAAAGGTAAGTGAACGGGGGACTTGGCTTACTAGAAGGGGGGGGGGCGGATAGTACTGTGGGGGATGAAATTATATGAGGGATGAATTACTTTAAGGGATGAATTACTATATGGGGGGATGAAATTATATGAGGGATGAAATACTATATGAGGGATGAATTTATTGAGAAAATACTATATGGGGGGATGATATGAGGGATTTACTTTATGAGGGATGAATTACTTTATGAGGGATGAAATTACTATATGGGGGGATGAAAACTATATGAGGGATGAAATACTATATGATGGGATGAAATTACTATATGGGGGGATGAAATACTATAAGGGATGAAATACTATATGAGGGATGAATTACTATTTTGAGGGATGAAATACTATATGGGGGGATGAAATACTATATGAGGGATGAATTACTTTATGAGGGATGAATTACTTTATGAGGGATGAATTACTATATGATGGGGATGAATTACTATATGCTATATGAGGGATGAATTACTATATGGGGGGATGATTTACTATATGAGGGATGAAATACTATGAGGGTATGAATTAAAATATGAGGGATGAAATACTAGTGGGGATGAAATTCTTAGCACTATATGAGGGATGCCAAATACTATTGAGGGGGTTTTGATGTGAATTACTATATGAGGGATGAAATACTATATGCTGAGGGAAAATAAACTATTGGGGGGATGAAATACACATTATGAGGGATGAAATCTATATGGGGATGATGAATATTACTATAAATGGGGGGATGAAATACTATATGGGGGGATGAAATACTATATGAGGGATGATGAAATACTATATGATGAAATTTCTAATGAGGGATGACTTACTATATGGGGGATGAAATTTTTCATATGTAAAAACATACTATATGAGGGCTATACGGGGGATGAAATAAAATAATCTGACTTTACGGGGGATGAATTGCTATGGGGGATGAATTAACTATATGGGGGGCATGCCTATGGGGGAACTAAAAATTACTATGGGGGATGAATTACTCTAGCCAATTTTTGCGTCTGACATTACGATGGGGGATGAATTACTATATGGGGGATGAAATTACCACTATGGGGGATGTGAAACTATATGGGGGATGAAGGGGGCAATAATTACTATTAAGGGAGATGTATTTTAAGTTTTAAAAATGTGGCTCTCCAAATAAATTTCAATCATGGTTTTGGCGAGATTTGGCCAAAAAAAATCAGGTTGCCCACCATATGGTCTAGGCCATGCAGTCTAGACATATGGGGGTTTATTTACTAAAGCTGGAGAGTCCAAAATCAGACTCACTTCTGCATAGAAACCAATCAGCTTCCAGGTTTCATTGCCAAAGCTTCATTGAACAAGCTGAGGTTAGAAGCTGATTGGTTTCTATGCAGAAGGGAGTCTGATTTTGGACTCTCCAGCTTTAGTAAATAAACCCCATGAAGTCCTAAATATTCAGTAATTAGACCATGTGTTTTTATCATCCAGTGTTTGAAAAAATGTTTTGCAAGTTTAACAATCATGGTTTAAGTCAATCTCCACTTTCAAAACAAGTTTAGTGCTGAAAGGATAGCATGATAAAAAAATAAACCTTGGAATTAGATATTTGTGTGAGCAATTCATAGACACAGCTGTCCTGAGGATTCTACCAAGGCAACAAACAAGGTCTTAATAAATTGCATTGGGCATAAATAATAGTATCTCTAAAAGCTTCACAGAGCATGATCCATAATATATGCAGTCTACAAAGTCATTGCCTTTTTAAATCATGAAATGTATTGGAAACTAGAGTTTTTGTTTTAAGGAGCTGTATTTACATTTTTAGTTCATTGATATAATTGGTTACCGGATTCACAGTTCAGCCCTGTAAGCTGTTAGTAGAAAAATCCTGTTCTTTAAATACAGTTTTATTTGTTGCATTAATAAAGTTTTAGTTTGTTGTAGTTTTTGCATTAAAATTCATTTTGTTAATTTTGCCTGATTTTTAGAATTAATTTGAGCTGAACTTTTTTTGTAGATGGTTATTCTTTTACAGTATGTAGTTCAATATTAGACCAATATTTATAGGATGTAAAATAAGCATTTTAAATTGGCAATACCCAGAGCAAGTTGCTCGTTTAGTGATAGGTAATGGAAAAAAAATGTAGCCTGTAGTTGACATCTGCACAGCACAGTCTTTTCAGTTGCCCTAATTTATTTAAAAATAAATTACAATTGAAACAAAAAAACGGACTTAACGTCCAAGACTGTTAACAAAAATTTGCAACACCACGCTAAAGGTTTAAATGAAATAGTATAACAAAGGAAATACAAAGGCTTTGGTATGGTTTTGTACAATCAACAATGGTTAATTCTGATATGTATTTGTGAACAACTTGAAAAAACACTTAAATTGAAAACTCTTGCAAGCACTTTTAATCGGTATAAGGAATGGTCTATATGCACAAGGATGTTTGGATTGTGAACATTTTGTACACTCTATCTAGGAACAATGAGATGACCTGCTTTCCAAGAGAAATAAAAGAACTCATGATGCATGAAAATGTGTATAAAAAACATCTATACAGTATCCTCATCAAATATAAATGAAATTAACTTTATTATAGAAATCATTCTGGGAGATTTCTAGGGAAGACAAAAACATACATTTCGACATAAAACAAATTGGATTATATCGAAGATATCATCTACCTTTCATCTACCAAACGTCTCTCTTCAGCTTTTCTTTATTCCATTTTTTTTTTTTTTTACTTTTGGAACTTTAAACATCAACCTTTGGGGATTACCAAACAGGAAACTGGGGGAAGGTGAGGATTTATATTTTTTTTTTTCCGGCAACTGGCCCAAGGGAAGTTGATACAAAAATGAGGAAAATTGGTCCAAGGATGGACAAAATCAAGGGACGATATATATCTTGATAAAAACCTCTTTAAATTCGTGGCTTGATCATGGCTTCCAATAAAAAATAAAATAAAATAAAATAAAAAAAAAATAATGATCAACAGAGAGCAGATCCGGGCTACCCGCCTGCGTTGTTCTGTTCAATATCACATAACAGAGTCAGTTTACAAAGAGTACATCAAATGGATAAAAGTTTGGATATCAAAATGAAGGTTTGATCCAACTGATATAGATACCGCTTTCAGTGTGCAAATGTCTGTTGTGCAGTCTTTCCCAATATTATCGGTACACAGCCGCTGTCCAGAGAAGTCTTTTTGATTTTTTTTTCTTTTTTTTGTATACTTTCCAAGCCAGTCCTGGATTTTTATAAAATACTGCTGAACATCCAACTGTTCTCCATAAAGTCATTGGTTAAATTAACACGGTTTTTACTGTAATCTTGGCCAGTACTGAGACATGTCAGGTTCATTCCCGGGTACTTGTACTGGGACTGACACTCCAGGGGAAATGAGACCTAGAGAAATAAATAGAAAAATAGGAGTATATTATTATATCATGCAGAGTTTGTCCAGTTTATCACAATACACAACACATGCAACTTTGTGGCGTTAGGGTATTTGTAGGAACTGTTCTAATTAGGATTCAAGACTTTATTAAGCATGCATTGTGTAGAGTGGCTTTTTCTTTTGCTCTGTTTTATTATATTAGATATATCTGATCTATAACGAACTGCACATGTGCAGACACTGAGTTGTGTGTTATTGTGTAGCTATCCCGTTCGCCGGTGGCTGTGTTTGGGGGAGTGGCAGAGAGAGGGTGGAAAATAATGGAATGCCTACCTGTAGAGGTTGTACCAGAGGTGCCCATTGGCTGGCTGTTCATGTGTGTCTGCATGTGGGGAGGTGTGTATGTATCATAGCTCCGCCCATTCACAGATGGACTTGTGGGCAACATGCATGAGTAGGAGGAAGTCTGGCTGGGTACAGGGGGCTGGAAGAAGAAAGAAAAGCAAAATTACTGCTCAGTGCTATTTGTGATGTTTAAATACAATCACTGCACCTCCTGTATCCATCATCTGCCCAGTGGAAAAAAAAAAAAAAAACTTACAGTGTGCGTGTGTGTTTCTGTGACACTGACCTACATATGCTATTGTTGATGTTGATGAGCAATGTGTAACCTCATGACATTGTCTGCAGCTTGGCTTCATCTCCCATGGTGCAAATGCATTATGGGAGCTCAGAAAGTTGAACAGTGATGCAGGATTCTCTACGATTTCTAACACAGGCTATAAGGATGCAGTGAATATTCACAGTCTAATTGGAAAAGACTTAAAAAAAAAAAAAAAGAAAGAGTGGTTTCCTACAGCCAGCTGCAATTTTTATCCAGTATGAGGCTAAGGTTGTTTCTTGACACAGGTGCAGTTCGTTTTCTGACAACTCTTTAGAGAAGTTTGCCTTGTTGCTCTATATCTGGCTGTCTCCAACTTTTGGTTAGACAGTAACAGAAATGAGGAGAAGAGTTCGGTCAATTGTGGCAAGATGCCATCACATTGGTTTTCAAGGGACGACTTGTACCTGTGTCAACAGGCAACATATGCCAATAAAAGGGTTCAGTCAATTGTGCCAAGATGCCATTACATTGGTTTTCAAGGGACGACTTGCACCCGTGTCAACAGACAACATATGCCAATACAAGGGTTCAGTCAATTGTGCCAAGATGCCATTACATTGGTTTTCAAGGGACAACTTGCACCCGTGTCAACAGACAACATATGCCAATACAAGGGTTCAGTCAATTGTGCCAAGATGCCATTACATTGGTTTTCAAGGGACAACTTGCACCCGTGTCAACAGACAGCATATGCCGATACAAGAGAAATTTGCAGCTAGTGTAGTTAGTCTGTAGATACATCTTACATCATTAAAATAAAAAACTGCATGTTATTTTGAACATGGTAGCCTCCATAAAGCACCTGCAGTTCACAATGAAATAATGAGGAATGTATTAAATGCTTCATCAGTAAACCTGTTACTGGCTCATTAAAATAAATAAAACAGCAGGCTTATGTAAAAACCCAAGCCTAAGGTGCCAGCACATTGCCTTCATTTGTAAAACTGCACTTCCAGATTGCCCCTGGGGAGCCCTGAACCTTCATGCATGAGTACCATGTAATGCAAGCTGAAATTTGGGGACGCCTGCTCTAAAGTCCAAAGTGGACTGGTTGAGAAATACCCCTATTGCACAGGATGGGGCAGGGGCTATGATCCAATTCGGTTCTTGCATACTGTGGTTCAGCACCCATTGAACCAAAGTTGTGGGTTGCAACTATAAGGTGCCTACTTGTGCCTAGGTATGTTGTTCACATGCTTTGTCCTAATGAAATGTTCCTTTAAATAGCAGCTTCTAGGGCTCATGCACACTGACCATTAGCACAGCTCACCTGAACGCTTTGTCTTCTGGCAGAAAAAAAGCTGCTTATTAAATGCGCCCAAAGCTGCAGTTTGCACTCACGTTCAGGTGTCTCAAGCATTTGAGCGGTCATGGATTCCGCTGGCCATTGACCAATCTTAATTTATTCTGAAAGAATGCCCAAGCACTAAACGCATCTAGTGTTTAGGCATGTCCAGCTGGTTTTCTGCCTAAAAGCTCCTCTCCTGAATGCTCTGGTGATGGCTTTTTTTTTTTTTTTGCCCTTAAACACTCCTCTTCTAATACACCTGTAAATACCTGTGTGTGCATGGACACATAGGCTAACATGGAGGTGTGTTTATAGCTGAAAATCAAAGACAACCACCTGTAAAAGCATCATTTCAGGCAAAATCGAACTAAGGCTAAACCTACTCCCACCTCCATTCTAAGACTATTCTATCTACTCTGTGAAAGAAAAGATGCCTATACTTACCTATTCTGAAACCTCTCTGCTCCGGTCACATGATCTTCAATGTAGAGGAGAGATTGCTGACAACGGCTGCAAATACCTGCACGTCGATGTCACCTTACTATAAGGCAGTGGCGTATTTAGGTTTTGTGCTGCCCTAGGCAACACAAAATTCATCCCCCCAATGGAGAGAGCCTGACATTGACCAACAACACACCTGCCCCCCCCACCCAAAACAGCCTTCCACTACCATCGCCCCCTTACACCGGCCACTCCCCTACCAGTGGGAGAGAGAAAGACACTCACCTTCACAGCTCTGGACATCCCTGACATCCCCAAGCCGCATGTGTCCCTTCTTCCATCACTTCTTTCAGGAGGGCGGGGTTTCCCCCCTGAAAAATACCACCCTAGGCAAATGCCTTGTTTGCCTTGTGGTAAATACGCCCCTGTTATAAGGCATGGGTGTCAAACTGATGGCCCTCCAGCTGTTGCCAAACTACAAATCCCATGAGGCATTGCAAGATTGACAGTTACAAGCATGACTCCCAAAGGCAGAGGCAAGATGGGACTTGTAGTTTCCCAATAGCTGGATGGCCGCCAGTTTGAGACCCCTGCTATAGGGCATCTGTTGTTGGCTGTCTCTCCTCTACACCAAAACTGGCGGTGGGACCTGATCATGTGACCGGACTGGAGCGGTTTCAGAAGAGGTAAGTTTCAGTATATTTCCTTTCTCAGGGTAGATAGAATAGTCTTAGAATAGGCGTGAGAGCAGGCTTAGCATTAGTTACATTTTGGCTGAATGACCACATTAAGCCCTGTGTGCAATGAGCCCTTAAAGGGAAAATATAGTTTTTTCATGTTTTAAGATATACAAGTAAAAAAAAAGATAATTTTGATGAAGTTGTTACTAATGTGTTAATGTTTTAAAACTTTATTTCTGTCTATATCTTGTTATTATGTATGTGTATGGAGGCAGCCATATGTACTCATTACATAATCAAGCTATGCTCCCTGCTTTGCATTTGCACACAATGGTTGTGCTTCACAGCTCCCTCTCACACTACAACTATATTGGGCTGATCTACTAAAGGAGTTGAGAATCTTCACTCATCTTTTTCAATGAGTCAGCTGACTTGTAGAGACTACTTTACTACAATGGTTGATAATCTGCACTCAATAAATTGTTTGAATATTCAGTTCAAGTATTTAATCCTGCAAAAAGCAAATTTCTGTTGACCTATTTAATCTTCTCATGATTGGGAATTCAAAATGAACAGGAATTTACTTTACACGTGATTTGATATTTGAAGTGAATATTCACACAATTTATTGAGTTAAGGTTCTCAACTATTTTAGTAAATCAGTCCCTACAAGTCAGCTGACTCATTGAAAATGATGCACTCCCCAGGTGGCTGATATCTCATCTCAACAGATTTTAAGCAGGATCTACTGAGCCACTGAGTGTTCCCTCTAGAGGTTAATCTATAAATATTTATTTAATAAATATTTATAATAAAAAATATGAATGAGGAAGCATGTAAAATTACAACACTCATATAAAACATTGAAATAATAAGTCAAAGTATGTCCTCCCTAAAAACACACTATATATTCTCTTTAAGAGTACATTGGTTGGTGAGATGTCTGTAATTGTTTTTTGTTCTATGAAAAGCAGACTAGTAATTGATGATGTTTAGAAATACTCTGAATGACTAGCTTACGTAACTATACATCAACTTCTTATTATGCTGGTTGTGGATGCTTTTTTGCAAATACTGGCTCACAGGGACTAATGCAAGCCATACATGGGTCAAATTCCGAATATTTTTTTTTCGTCTGAAAATCGAAAACATTGTTTGCTTGGTAAACCCATGGTGCCATCAATGATTTAAAAAATTGGCCAACCAAGTCATAAAGTTCACCCCATATAACAGGCAAAACTTCTGTTCTTTCCAGGTCACAGCTTATGTGCATATTGTTTTCGGAAAAAAAAACGATCGTACGATTTGACCATCATTGAGTCGAAAATCGGTCGTTTTTCACAAAGTTTCCAACATGCCCAATCACTGAAAAGGGGAGGAACCACGAAAACTGACCGGTACCATTGACCCATTATTCTTAGGTCCAATTTTTGGACAAAAAATCAGTCGAATTTCGAACCATGTATGGCCGGCATAACTGGGCCACTGGGGAGTGGAACTAGGGTAAGGCAGTAGAGGCAGCAGCCTATGGGGTAGGAGGAATGCTATTCCATTGAGAAAATCAGAAAAAAATCCTTAAAACCTTGGAGGCCTTTGCGTGAGGCTGACAAATAAACCCATTTCTAGTTATTCAATTTTTCTCAGACTTGCTGCTGTCAATTAAATGTAGCAAACACAACCAATTCATAATTATTAAACTGTAGACAATAGGGTGAAAACAGAGGGTGGCTGGTTTATTTTTTGGGCCACATTATTACAATAATTGCCCATGATAAAAAAATCATAAAGCTGGTCATAGACAGTTCGAATCTTGGCCAGTTCAGCAAGAACCAGCTGAGATTCAAACCATGAATGCGTAGGATGAATGTACCCAAGTTGATCAACTGATCAACTTGGATACAACCAGCCTGCCGGATTTTACATGCCCTTATAGCTAGCGGCTATTATAGCACTAGCAGTAATTGCTCTGAGACGACCCCACCGGGAGAACACAATGGCTCTGCGGGAGGGATTCCCTCATCAGCACTGACTGATTGATGGAGTAATCGAGGTTGCAGGATGGAAAATCGCTCCATCTCTGGCTGGCTTAAGAACAATAGGACTTTTTGAATAAAAAGTTCTTATTCTTAAGTAGTACATGTCAAAGTGGAACTAAACCATCCTATCCTTTACAGTCAAGTATGCTGCCATCTTAGCCTCTGCTTAATCTGCAGTGCACTAGTGATCAGCTATGACACCAGTCATTTGATGGCTTGAGAGTTCAGTTGAGAGCACAAGCAACTGTGATAGATCATTCACGGCATGCCTTCAATGTAACTGTTTTGGGAAACATTTAAAATGGAACTAAACCCTTCTATATCTATACATCCAAGGATGCTGCCATCTTAGCTTCTGTTTGATCTGCAGGTGCCATGGTGCTGCACACGTGATCAGTTTTGACACCAGCCATTGAATGGCTTGACGGTTTAGTTGACAGCTAACATAAGCACACTAGCAGGGGCGGACTGACAACTCATGGGGCCCCTGGGCAATAGGGGATAATGGGGCCCCTGTGTCCTCACCCACACTCAAACCACACCCAAAAAAGTCTATGAAAGGTACCAGGGGCATCTCATGGGGCCCCCTACTGACCCCAGGCCCTCGGGCAGTACCCGAATACCTGAATGGTCAGTCCACCCCTTCACACTGGTAACTGTGGGAGGCACTGCCTTCAATATAACTGTTTTGGGAAACCATTAAATTGGAAAGTTTAGTTCCACTTTAAATCAATGGGTTTATTTCCCTTTTAAGTACAGGAACCAGGGGCGGACTGACCATTTGGAGACTCGGGCACTGACTCGGGTCAATAGGGGACCCCATGAGATGCCCCTGGTACCTTTTTCATAGGCTTTTTTGAGTTTGGGCAAGGACACAGGGGCCCCATGATCCCCTATTGCCCGGGGGCCCCATGAGTTGTCAGTCCGCCCCTGACAGGAACCCATATCAACCAATCAAAAGTTACTCCAAGACCAGCACCTGATGAATTCCAATTGGCTGCTAAAGATTATCACACTTACCAAATGATACTTAAGAATATAAACTCTTTATTGAATAAGGTTTTATATGTAGAAAAACTGGGGATGAAGGAGGATCTAGGGGCTTAGTCATGAAAGTAAATGTGTATCTGTGTGCCTATATTTCTTTATGGTAACAAAGATGTATCATGCTGCCTTTAATAACAAATCATCTTTCAACTAGCAAGGTCCGTTCACACCAGCAGATGTGAGTTCTGGGAAGGAGCGGTGTGATGTGCTGTTACAAAACAACACACTATTTATCGCTTTCTTTTTTTATCCTTAATGACATTTCATTCAACTTTATGTATTGAAGTGTGTTGAGATGTGGTGTAGTGCTTCCTAACGTGCTGTGCTGCCTAAAAATGGAGCATGTCCCTTGTTTTTCAGTACACACCAGTGCAACACATTGGTGTGAACTAAAACAATAGGACTTAAGGCAAACTGCCTTTTCTATACATTGGGATGACATTTGGCAAGGCTACTCAATGCAGCCCAACTCATATGGGGTCAATGGGCCCTCATGTCTACAGTCCATGGTTTGAAAATTAACCAAGAATTCTGATTGGATGCTTTTAGGCATCATTCATTATCAAGCCTCTTTAATACCCCTACTGAGAGCCAACTGCCCTTTCTGTACAATATAAAATTAATTTTCTAATTGGTTACCATGATATTGATTTTTTTATCTCAGTATTTAGCTAATATTATAATAAAGAGATATAATAAGTCAGCAGGCAATCAGTGCATGTCCACAACTGAAGTATCAGTTTGGCATGGATTTGGCTGTTGGTGTAGGAGGTGGACAGAGCAGAATAAATATGAGAGGCGCACAGTTATTTACATGAACTGTAATCAGTCATAATAGCACAGAGCGGAAGAAATGATAAATACCGGTCTGGCGATGACTCACTCAGGACATTTTTAGTGGCATTTATTTTTATCACAGCACTGACAGCCATGTTTCTTGTGTGTGAGCATCACAAATGAGGTTTTTTTAAAGACTCTATGCCTTGATTTACTAAAGACAAGGGATTACACGTTTCATGGGTTTGAATAAGGTGAAACTCTGCTAACTTCCTTCATGGAATCATGTGCAAGTCAAAATGCCTTTTCTTTTTTTTCCTTGCACTTCTTTGGGTATTTTTTGCAAAGTGAAATGTCACCATATTCACTAAGCTCTGGGGAAAATGCCCGTGCAATGTGCAACTTCCCTGCAAAGTGAACAACCTATTTGCCTTTAGTAAATCAACAACATGGTGTCATAGGCTGGCCATAGATCGATCCGTTTTTTTTAAATCAGCCAGCAGGCTGGTTGAAAAAACTCAATGGATTCTGCCATTTACATACGCAAAGTGGATGGGGGAATTCTCCCTGCTGTTCTATTGTATTCTGACTCCTCCACTGTCAGAATATAATAATCAGTGCTGCAGCTGATTGGCTGCAAAACTTTTAAACATCCTGTTTTACAAAAGCTCACTAAGCTCTGGGGAAAATGTCTGTGCAATGTGCAACTTCCCTGCAACGTGAACAACCTATTTGCCTTTAGTAAATCAACAACATGGTGTCATGGGCTGGCCATAGATCGATCTGTTTTTTTTTTCAATCAGCCAGCAGGCTGATTGAAAAAAACTTAGTCATGAAAGTAAATGTGTACCTGTGTGCCCATATATTTCTTTATGGTAACAAAGATGTATCATGCTGCCTTTATGCACTTGTTTGGGTATTTTTTGCAAAGTGAAATGTCACCATATTCACTAAGCTCTGGGGAAAATGTCCGTGCAATGTGCAACTTCCCTGCAAAGTGAACAACCTATTTGCCTTTAGTAAATCAACAACATGGTGTCATGGGCTAACCATAGATCAATTTTTTATTTTTTTTTCAATCAGCCAGCAGGCTGATTGAAAAAATTTAATGGATTCTCTCATTTACATACGCAAAGTGGATGGAGGAATTCTCCCTGCTGTTCTATTGTATTCTGAATCCTCCACTGTCAGAATATAATAATCAGTGCTGCAGCTGATTGGCTGCAAAACTTTCCAACATCCTGTTTGACAAAAGTCGTTATCTGTTGAGTTGCAATGGTCATAGACAGATCGAAATTCGATTGAAAACCCTGCTGAACCAGACGAATTTCAATCCATCATGGCTAGCTTTAATGTACAGTAGGGCATGGCAACCAATCAGGAAATGTTGAAAGAATGTGGCCTTGTTAATATGCAGCCACATTATGCAAAATGATGTTTGTACTATCTGTTCAGGGAACATTAATTAACATAACATCGCCCAATAATTCCTTTGAGCCGGTTTTCACAGTTAAGCCTATTATCCAGATCATCAACATATAATGGGCCTTGTTCAGTACCAAAGCAACAAAAAAGAAGATATCTGGGATAGTTCTGTAGGATAGTTCTAGTTTGCTACACATAACAGACATCATGGTAAGCCATCCATGGGACATTGCAAGCAGCCTCTCCCCCCCTAACATGGTTACCAACTAAAAACTATAGATTGTCATTTGTAACACTAATTATATTGGTATAGTGTGAACTATATCAAATCTTGGAACGTATTTAAATGTCTCAGTCAGTGTTCATATTTTAAATCTATAGCTGCGATTCTTTATGTACGTTTTTCACAAAGGACAGCATTTCTTTCCCACTCCCTCTAAATAAATAAAATGTATAAAAAGCTGTTTTTAAGAATTTTGTTACCAACAGAATATTAATCTATGTGTGTTCTTCAAATGATATCATTTAATTCTAGTTGAGATGTTTAGCACGAAAAAACATTAAATGAAAACTAGAACAAAATATATTTGCTTTACTTTTTAGACCATTAGTCACACACTGTCTACATATCTATATAATAGACATTTTCAAAAAGGACTATCTGTCATGACTATAGGGTGTTAATATTTACTACTTTTTTTACTGGACTGTTAACACATTTACGTATGCATAGTTACATCAACAGGAAAGCACATGTCAATACTCACTTGCATAGGCAGGTTATTTGCCATGGTAAAACTAGGCATTGGTGGCAACGCACTGTATGTGTTTGTAAGTGCTGTGTCTGTTCTCCCCAACATAGAACTTGATGTGAATGAGGACACTAGATAGAGAAAAAGAAGTCAAATTATTATATGGATCCGTCAAATGATCTATGTACCTGTCCACCTTCACATTTGTACCAAGTGATATATTTGTTGTTAATCCATCGTTGTAAATAGTATTTATTAGTTATCGTGTTCCTGTAAGCATAGATGAGCTCTTGAAATATTCACCAAATGGGCAAAGTTAGAGTTTAGCTGGATATCATAGGTGTGTTCTTCAATGTTGTCTTTAACCACTAACCTACATGGCACTTATACCCCCTTCCTGCCCAGGCCAATTTCCAGCTTTCAGCGATGTTGCACTTTGAATGACAATTGCGCGGTCATGCAACACTGTACTCATATGACATTTTTATCATTTTTTTTGTGACAGATAGAGCTTTATTTTGGTGATATTTAATTCACCTCTGGGTTTTTTATTTTTTCTTAAACAAACCAAAAAACACTGAAAATTTTGAAAAAAATGTTTTTTTCTTAGTTTTTGTATAAAATTTGTAAATAAGTGATTTTTCTCCTTCACTAATGTGCGCTAATGAAGCTGCAGTGATGGGCACTGATAGACTGTACTAATGGGCACTGATAGGTGGCACTGATGGGCACTGATGAGGTGGCACTGGTAGGTGGCACTGATAGGCACTGAAAGGCAGCACTCAAATATATGGCACTGATAGGTGGCACTGATAGGCGGCACTGACTGGCACTGTTAGGTGGCACTGACTGGCACTGTTAGGCGGCATTGATAGGTAGCACTGACGGGCACTGATAGGCGGCACTGATGCACACTGATAGGTGACACTGACTGGCACTGATAGGCGGCACTGACTGGCACTGATAGGTGGCACTGATTAGCAGTACTGATAGGTGGCACTAACTGGCATTGATAGGTGGCACTGACTGGCACTGATGGGTGACACTGAAAGGCAGCTCAGATGGGCACTGAATGTGGCACTGATGATGGCACTGGCAGGTGGCATGGATGAGCACTGAGAGCTGGCACTGATGGACACTGACAGGTGGCGCTGCTGGGGCTACACAGATCATCAGGGCACACTGATCATCAGTGCTCTGATGATCTGTGTTCATGTCCCCTCCACGGAAAGCCGATTACCGGCTCTCCTCTCCTCTCGAGCTGCCAGCGTGACAGCTTGTGGGGGAGAAATGCAGATAACCGGCATTTCCCTGTTTACATGTGATCAGCTGTGATTGGACACAGCTGATCACATGACCGAGCCAACATCTTCGGCTCTTTGCGTGGATCGGTGATCTGCTGTGTCCGAGGGACACAGCGCACCACGATCGCCGTGCTGCGCGCTCCGGGAGCAGCGCATGCGTGGTTAGAATGGGGGGATGTCATATGACGTCCCCCCAGAATGAGAGAACCACCTTGCATCCATCATTGTACTATATGGCGGGCGGGAGGCGGTTAATTTGAGCTCTCAAATGTAGGCCATCTTTGCCTAGATATTGTCCATAGTGAGCGCTATACATTATTAATTTCAGCTCATGGATATTTAAAGCATGCCTATACTATTTAACCCTCCTCCAAATCCCCAACCACAATAAAGATAAACAAAATGACAGTGGTTAGAGTGGTCCCTACCCTACATCCTCCATTAATGGGAGTTGGACCATCATAAGCATTGCCGTCTAGACCATCCTTTCTCAACTCCTTTTTATCTCAGAGGAATCCCTAAAATAATTTTCAGGTCTCAGGGAACACTTACTAAGTCCATTTCATAGGTGGTCAATGGGAAAATACCCCTTACATTAATGTCGAAGGGGAATAATGAAACCATTACAGTGGTGATCAGAATACAATCCTTTCAGACAGCTTAAAAAATTTTTGGCAGCTGGCTCTATCTAGTAGCATTGGCCCTGGAACTATGCAGGTACCATCAAATAGGAGGTCAATCTACTACAGTTCAAGAAACCTCTGGAGGAACCATAGGGTTCCACGGAACCATAGGGTTCCACGGAACCCTGGTTAAGAATGGTTGATTCTGGACTAATGACGTCAAGCTATCGAGATGTGCTCCCTGAATGAGTGCCTCCTGTGCCTGCTCTGCTTCCAGCCAACATATGGCTGTCTAGGACTGATGAATATTGGGTTATGCTTCTTCCAGCATCAGAAGAAGATAATGTCAGTAGAAGAAGGGGGCAATAAGGAAGCAGGGGCTACCACCAGCTTTTCATATAGTGATTTTTTTTTTTACTAAAAAGGATAGATGGTCTATAAAGGCTGGTACACATAGCATGAAACAAAACATCTAAGAATACTATTTATAAAATCCATTAATTCACTTTTCTGTCTTACGGTTTTACCTTTACTGGAAAGTTGTCATTATGCCCCGTTCTTCATGCTTACCTGGAGTGGTGGGTTGTGGAATAGGTTGATAGACACTAGTGCTGAAACTACTGCTAATAGGGATGTGACTGGGTGTGTTGCTGGCTTGCCTCCTCTGATTCCGCAACTTTTCTTCTCTTCTCCATTTTGCTCGCCGATTAGAAAACCATACCTAAGAAGTAGAAAAAACAAAAAGGTTAATATAATAATTAAGTCAACCCTTATTTCCTATGCTGCCAGTGCAAACTGCAGAACATTACACTGCTTTATGTAACTAAGTCTGTATTTTGGAATAGATCATTAATACTTTGCATTATGCCAAAAAGACCAACCTGCTGGCCTAACCCATTTTCAGTATCTAAATACAGTATATGGTACATTTCATGAGAACCACATATTTGAGATCCATGAGTAATGGCACTTTGGTACACTAAGGGCCTACATTTGCTGTAATCAGTCCTTATATGATTCAAGCACACTGTAAAAGTACAAGCCAAAAATAGATTTTGATGGCCATTGTTCAATTAAGATGCATACAACATGCTTTATTAAAGCGGTAAAGCTCTTGGGCTCTTACCGCATATCTTAAACAGATAACGATAACACCTTAATTTTGTTATAATCTGGGGCAAAAATAAGAGGTCAAGGGAGACCTATAATTTTTGGAAAGAAATAAGAATCAAGGAAGACTTACATTGTGCTCGGTACCACTTTAATCTTATTGTAATTAGGGGCATAAATAAGAGGCCAAGGAAGGCCAAGTTTCCCCCAAAAAACACACAAAATACACTAAACATACAACAGTATTCAATTTAACGTGTTTCTTACTCCAAGAACAAAAATGTAATATATTGCTAAGATGTGGTGGCTGCATTAATTTTCTTTATTCAGACATTTTTGCTTATATTTTCACCTGGTGATCCTGCCAGTAACACACTACCTGTCCTAGGGTGACAGATCTCACTCACTGCACTGTATCTATGGAGGAGCAGAGCAGTGTGTTCTGACTGTTAAGGCACCTCCCGCAATACCTCATTTCCATAGCATAGTAGGGAGTTATGTTTCCTTATTAATGGACTGCGCCAATGGACATAAATATAAATTAAAATAAAAAGCAAAATGTAAAAAATGGGGGAGGGGAGCAGCTATCTAATTCCTTGGAAACCAAGAAAAAAGCAACGTAAAAATGTATTTAGACAAGCGCTCCTCAGAGTATGAAAGATATCATATCAATAAGCAGTCCATATCCCCTCACTATAATCTCACTGTGCCAAAAAGAAACTTACAAAATAATATCTTATAACAAGTGAAAAACAAATGAAAAACAAAACTCTTCAATATTATCACATTTGTGTCATATATCCGTGATTGCTGTTATATGAGAATAACAATGTGTCCATACAATATTATCAATTCTTGTTTAAAAACGTTCAAACATAAATGTGCAAAATATCTCCTTTTCAGTTTTGTTATCTTCATAAATATTTGTGCTTCTCACCGCTACCGCTCCTGGGGGATTTCGAGTGACGGAACGCGTGGGGTGGGGCCTTGGATGTGACATCACCATGTACAGGTAAACCTCTGGTGTTCGCTGAGCCCGGAGCTGATCTGTTCGTTTTACATTGCTATAACTGTTGGGGTTGGCTATGACACTTTGTGAGTGTGGTTCATGCTTTTTTAATGGAATAAAGGTTTCTTTTGGATGGTTTTACGCTATGAAGCTTCCTCTTCTCTTCCTTTCACATGGTATATACATGTATGAGGATTCATCCATAGAGGTTGACAAGCTGTCGGCATTCCTGTAGATCGTTGCTCCCAGAGAATAACAATGTGTCCATACAATATTATCAATCCTTTTTTTAAAACGTTTATACATAAATGTGCAAAATATCTCCTTTTCGATTTTGTTATTTTCATAAATATTCGTGCTTCTTATCAAAACACCACCACACTGTGACAAATCCACCACCAGCCAAATTAAATGAACTCACCAGAGCTCTATGCTGGTAATGTTATAAACGAGCTAATGAGCAGTGACTCTGGGAGCAACAATCTTCAGGAATGCCGACAGCTTGTCAACCTCTGTGGATGAATCCTCATACATGTATGTACCATGTGAAAGGAGGAGAAGACGAAGCTTCATAGCATAAAACCATCCAAAAGATACTTTTATTCCATTAAAAGAGCATGAACCGCACTCAGAAACAAAGTGTCATAGCCGACACCAGCAGTTACAGCAATGTAAAAGAGATAGATCAGCCCCGGGCTCAGCGAACACCGGAGGCTTACCCGTACATGGTGGCGTCACATCCAAGGCCCCGCCCCACGCGTTCCGTCACTCGACGTCCCCCAGGAGCAGTAGCGGTAAGAAGCACGAATATTTATGAAGAGAAAAAAAAACGAAAAGAAGATATTTTGCACATCTATGTTCGGACGTTTTAAAAAAGGATTGATAATATTGTATGGACACATTGTTATTCACATATAATAGCGATCACAGATATATGACATGAATGTGATAATATTGAAGATTTCTGTTTTTCACTTGTTATAAGATATTTTTTCTTAAGTTTCTTTTTGGAACAGTGAGATTATAGTAAGGGGATATGGTCTGTTCAATGATATCATTCATACTCTGAGGAGCGCTTGTCTAAATATATTTCTACATTGCTTTTTTCTTGGTTTCCAAGGAATTAGATAGCTGCTCCCCTCCCTCATTTTTTAAATTTTGCTTTTTATTTTATTTTATATTTATGTGCATTGGCGCAGTCCATTAATAAGGAAACATAACTCCCTACTATGCTATGGAAATGAGGTGTGGAGGAGGTGCCTTAACAGTCACAACACACTTCCTCTACTAGACAACACTTGTCTAAATACATTTTTACATAGTAGGGAGGTGTTCTGTATGCTATATCAGGGCAAGTCTTATAACACTGATGAGATTTTAGTGCAGCACAGGCAGAGTACACAAGAAGTTAGGAAGCTCACTGGAGTCCTGGCAGGATCAAAAGGTATTTTTCTAACACTTCAACAAAACAAAACACTTCAGTGGTATATTTAACACACCAAAATGGAGCAAATAAGAGAAGTTCATCGTTAGAGTTTACTTTAGGCATCTGAAATATTACTCCCTCAGGCAAATGATTAATAATCAACCCTGTCCGTGCCATGCCCTAATCTCAATGTGGAGAACTTCTCACGACTTCCACCGAGATTCCATGTTACAGAATCAAGATAAATTTGTCAGTGGAGTGGAATGACTTTCATCCTCTGCAAACACATGATAAAGTCTATAAATAAAGCTGTGCTTTTCTAGGGTCTTCCTCTCCCATCGAGATGACTGTTGTGCTTGAAAATAAGTGGTGCATGCGTTAAACCGGGGGTCAAACATTTGATTTAATTACATAGTAACCGTTACCTGTATTCTAGCTTCTGGCAAGTCTATTTTGGCAGCTAATCTTTCTCTGGCAAACACATCAGGATAATGGGTTCGCTCGAATTCTGCAAGCACACAAATGAACAGGTTGGTTAAGAAGACTGTACAGTTTTCATTATAAAAGATGTTAAACATATCCAATTAGAGGCTCAGCTGTTGTGACCTCTGTTCATATCTTTCTCTAAACTGAAAGTGTTCTGATGAGTGGGTAGGAAAGACAAAACTCTGCTTGTGAGGCCTTGCAGAAGGAAGAGTTGGCCTTACCGCCAATTTAAAGCAGATGAAAATCCTAACTGAAAGGAATTTCATTTCAATATACGTGTTTCCACTTTTTTTGCATATTTTATTGCATCACATTGGGGGAGATTTACCAAAATTGGAGCACTAAGAATCTGGTGCAGCTGTGCATGGTAGCCAGTCAGCTTCTAAATTCAGCTTGTTCAATTCAGCTTTGACAAAAAAACCTGGAAGGTGATTGGATTCTTTTGCAGAGCTGAACAAGATTTTGCACCAATTTTAGTAATTCCCTCCATTGCTTCCGATGTCCTGCAGCTACTTCCTATCTAGATGTGCTCCAGCCCTGGATGCATATAATTTCTCAGGGCACATTTCCTGTAGGTGACAAAAGCGGACCATGCCTGCGTAATATGTTAGAATAGCCACTCGGAGTTTCCATCAGAAGCCCCTGTGCCAGGGTGACAACACAGGAGCACAACTGGGAAACAGGGACAGGGTGTTGTCACCTTATAACAGGAAGTGTCTGAATAAAATATAAAATAAAATACCATAAAAACTGTAGCTTTAAAGAGAACCTGACTCTTAAAATGATATTAACCTGTTAATGCTTAATGGGATTTAGTGACTGGGTTTACATCTACTTTAAGCAAGTGTATTTATCATTTTCACTGCTCTTACTTGATTCGTCACTATTCATAGACTACAGTAAGCCATACCTTTTTCTAGTGCTTCTATTTGTTCTTGGGTGAATGATGTTCTGTTTCTTTGCAGTTTCCTTTTTAACTGGAGCCTCATTTGTGCCTCATCTGAATCTTCCCCATTAGAACTGATGGAGTTTGTGTTTTCTCCCCCACCTTCTTGCTGCGGACAGCCATCTGCAACAACGAACATTTGGTATTAGACCAACCTTACCATTAGCAAAATATGAAATGCTCAATACATACTGTATATAAGCCACAAAAATAAAGCACAATTTCTTTACTGAAGTCTATTTTTTTATATAGCTAACTATAATTTTCTTCCTGTGAATATATAAATGAAACCTTAACAACCAATTAAATCGATCAACAGTAAACTTTTGAGATGATTTTCAAATTCCCAAAATGTTTACACAAAGTTGAAGCTAGTAGACGCTAAACATGCTGCACTTTTTAAAATGAAATATCTACTTTAACATTACAACAAAAAAAAAGTCTTAACAGTTCTCTTGAGATTATCTGTTGTCAGCAATTGCAATCAATTAAATGTTGATAGGTTTGCAGAAAATGTGATTAAGAACTCAAGCCAAGCTTGTAATCTCCTAAAAGAAATATTTATCTAGATTTTCGATTTGAATTCCCTACAGTCAATTTCATGTTTAAAGGTTCTGAATTTAGAAGTGAGCGCATTGTTCTACAATTTTATTCAACCATTGTACGAGTGTGCAATTCCCTGACACCTATTACAGCGAACAGTTGTAATTATATCATCAGCAAGAACAGCCTGTAATTGCAGAAAATGGAATTTTATATTTAGATAAAGGGACTGTCCATTCTTTGTAATATGGCGTGCAAGGGAAAAGTATGATTTCTTAAAAAAAAATAATAATAATAAATTAGCATATAATTTTAGAAGATAATGTAGTGACTTTAGTAACACACATATGTAACTTCAGCATCTTTATAATAAGCATATGACATTATTGTGCCACTTAAATTAATTTATTATCACACCTGTTCTTATTTGAGTTAATGAGTTTGAGGATATCCAATTCAGAATATTTTGCCATGGCTGAAAATACAGCATTGGCCAGCTCTACAAAATGCCATATATTCACAGTGGTCTTATGATGCTGATCCCAATTATTTTACTTTTTTTCTCTCCAAGACTTGTTATAAAGGTTCAGTATGGTTAGATTATCTATTTATTTATTTATTTATTTATTTATTTTTTGTTGTTTCAATTTCACAGTTTTTTTAAACAATTTTTTTAATTCCCATATTAATAAAGCTACAATTATACAACTACAAAAATAATCTGCTGGATTAGTATAACACAATAACAATATTTTTAATACAAGCCCCTCCCTTTTCCTGAGCATGAATTTGACAGTGTTGTGCCAGACTGCCCTTTTGCTTTCCAAAAATGTTGTATTTCGATTCTCAACTTTTAAAAGCCACTTCATTCCATTTTTAAAGTGTGCCATCCTATAAAAGACTGAATTATAAATAACAGCTGGAAGGTGCTTTTAGAAAATTCTCCCACCTAGAATTTGTATAACTTGATTTAGTTTGGAAATTCCTTATAAATAGGCCATAAGTCTTCCAAAAAAGATTTCAAAACAAAATATTTTCTTTTTTTACTTGCTGCACACATTAATTTGTTGTCTCTGGGCTGTAGAAAATATTCAACGTGCGGGAAAACTTTCCCAGGCTACATAACACAATTTTCCTAAGAAATTATGTATTTGTAATTCTGGCCATAGGTTATAAGTTTTAATTTCATGCATGGATTAATGACAAGTAATTATTAGTGTTTGAATGTAATGGAAATCTGTATCACAGATCTCAGAATTTTCCATAATGGCGGGAAATCTTGGCAGATCAAGTATATCACCCATTTGAAAAAATATCAGTTGCCTCAAGTCTAAAGGCTGAAATCATCAACATAAATAGGAAACCTTGCAAAGTGGACAGTGTTCAGATCACTTTTTTTTTTACTCTTGTAGATCTGCCATAAATGCCCAGAGTATGTGTAGATTTTACTGGAAAAGATGCTTGGATTTCTTTTTTAAAAACATGCCCGGATCTGGAATTACGATGCCAAGGATTGCTGACTTTTTGCTCAGAGCAGCCCAAAAACTGCTGAGCTCCTTATTTGAAAGAGCCTGCACCTTCTGTAATTAAATATTGTGGGAATTAAGATCAGAGCAATATCCAAGCACAATGGTGGTGCCTTAAAAGGGTTAATAGAATTGTGACAGAATCTGGTGGCGTCTTTTCAAACACGTTGAAATGTTTTAAAACCCCAACATTCTCTTCCATTTAAATCATCAGATTCAACTACAGTTCGGACCATATGGACGTTTGTAGACCTATTGAGATGACCACCAACACTTGAATAGGAGGGGGGCTGCCTTTCAGCAGTGCACAATGGCGGTAGAGTAAGAGAAACTATTAAACACTCGGGCCAGGGGGATTGGCAAACTTCCGTGGGTAGAATTTTCAGGACACAATCAGGACGCAGAACAAAGGGATTCTCTTGAATTTCGCAGTCATCCACATTGTATCACAAGGGGTCCAGTCAACAGACTGTTCAGGCAAGTATGTTAACCTTTACGCTCAAGCATCATTAATCACTGTCCTTGGGGCTGTGCTACTCAAAGCTATATAGGACTTTTTTTTCTTTCTTAAACTTTCTATAGGACCAAAAGAGAAAAAAAATACCTAAATGAGTCAATGGGATAAGTCCATACACTGCAGCTATTTACTCAGCGGCAGAAAAGAAAAAAAAAAAAAAGTACTTAGTGGAGCTTAGCTAAGCTCCAGCTCACATGTTAACACACAAGTGTCCTTCTATTTACTCATCAAATCTGCTCTGTGGCTTCTGAAGTGTTCTGATACTAATTTATTGAGTGTGTTTGCTGCTGTTTGTGTATTGCATGCATTTTTCCAGCACATTGGAGAATCTCTGTGATCTGTCAGTAGACATTCCCTTTTCTCCATAGGAAATACAGTGTTCCCTCCGGAGTGTAGGCACCATTGTCAAAAAGTCAACAGAAAGTAAAAGTTGCAGTGTATCCTGGCTAAGTATAACATTGTTGACAATGACTTTGCGCCTCGATGCTCTTCATTCTTAGTGAGAGATCTGTATGTACTAATTCACTTACCAAGAACTACAATTGTCGTATATCATTATCCAACCAATATGCCTGTCTTGGTAATAAATGCCACTTGTCCTATAGAAGTAGAAGGTCACTGCAAGTCATAGTGGGGCTTTTTAAGTCCCAGCACAGCCTCACCCTTGCAATTGAGCAGCAGATCAAGCTGGGAGTGTTGGTAGGACATGCTGTGACTTGTAGTCCTGTAACACCTGGCAAAACTGTTATGGCACAATATAGCAAGCACCATTAAAAAGAAAAAAAAAGTTTACTACGCAAGGAGCTGCATACATGGTTCTCCTTTCGTAAATAGTTTTGAATAAAAAAAAAGTACAGGGTTAAAATATGAACTTTAGGCAAATATAAAGGACACAAATTATGCAAATCTGTAATCATTAATACATTATTACATATATTTTTTACATGCAAGCAGTGTATACCTGAATCTGACCTGGTAGCAGCCCCCTGGATGCATTGTACAGCAGGGCTGGAGTGTTAGAGGAGGAAGCAGTACAATAGGCCAATTAGATCATGTGCTGTCAGAAAGCATACGGATGGGAAGAAAAAGTGATGGAGAGATGAGCTAGTCACTGTAGTGCTTCTACTTTCACTGTCCAATTATAGGCAGGGGGTGGATCCAGGAGGACCTGGACTCAAAGAAAGCAGGTTGAATGATGTTGGCTATCAGGCTGACGATATCTATGAGCGAAAATATACTGCAGAGGAAATCTCTTGGTTGACACTGAATATTGCAGTGAAAGTTGGCGTAGTTATTTTATCTTTTATGGGCTCTTCATTTTTATATTGTTATTGTTGGCTTAAGTTCTGCTTTAAGCCTATTTTAAGTCAAATGTTTTTTCATCTTAGATAAAGTAGGGAATGGCTCAAAAGCCTGTCGGGTCTCTATATCATTGGGGAGATTTCTCTTTATTTTCTGTACTGCATACACAACAAGGCGTAAAAGGAAATCTCTCTAGTCAAGGAAATCTCCTTTCAGACAGTTGTCACCAGAACAACTATCATCATTGAAAGCTTTCCCCTCAATTCCTATTCTGGTGACAACTCTAAATTTGGGATTTCCCCTCACTTTCTGTGTGCTGGTGACGGTGGTCACCAGGACAAATAGAGAGTGTGAATTTCTCTAAAGGGGACACAGGCAGTAAGACCTGACAGACATTGTAATTGCTTACCATTCTATCCAAAGCTAAAAAAATTGTTTAGATACATTTTCATTTCATTAAGCACAGTAAGGTCAATGCTGTACAGCAGGTGTCTCCAAACTTTCTAAACAAAGGGCCAGTCCTTCAGACTTTAGGGGATCAGACTGTGGGCAGCGGGAGTAGAAAATGTCCACACATCAGTGGGAGTAAACAATGCCTCATCTTTGGTATTAGTGGGAGGAATAGTGCCCCATAGTTGGTGTCAGTGGAAGGAATAGTGCCCCATAGTTGGTGTCAGTGGGAGGAATAGTGCCCCATCAATGGGGTCAGTGGGAGGAATATTGCCCCATTGTTCATGTCAGTGGAAGGAAAAGTGTCCAATTGTTGATGTTAGTGGGAGGAATAGTGCCCCATAGTTGGTGTCAGTGGGAGGAATAGTGCCCCATCAATGGTGTCAGTGGGAGGAATATTGCCCCATTGTTCATGTCAGTGGAAGGAAAAGTGTCCAATTGTTGATGTTAGTGGGAGGAATAGTGCCCCATAGTTGGTGTCACTAGGAGGAATAGTGCCCCATCAATGGTGTCAGTGGGAGGAATATTGCCCCATTGATGGTGTCAGTGGGAGGAAAAGTGTCCAATTGTTGATGTTAGTGGGAGGAATAGTGCCCCATAGTTGGTGTCACTAGGAGGAATAGTGCCTCATCAATGGTGTCAGTGGGAGGAATATTGCCCCATTGATGGTGTCAGTGGGAGGAAAAGTGTCCAATTGTTGATGTTAGTGGGAGGAATAGTGCCCCATAGTTGGTGTCAGTGGGAGGAAAATTGCCCCGTTGTTAGTGTCAGTGGAAGGTAAAGTG